TTATTGCTGTATTCTTGCTAGAAAGTTTTTTGCTTTTTGTCCAGTTTTGGTAAAATGATCTACGGAGAAGAGTTTTTTTTTTTTTTTTTATTGTTTGGTTTAGTGATGTTAAAATAGATAAATGTTTATAGGATTTATATCTAATTGGATTTATAGCTATATGATTAGGAATGATAGAATCTGTAATTTTAGTATAAATATATGTTTCTGTATTATCAAGATTAACTAATATTTTAATTGGGTCAAAGAAGAGATTTTGGTGTAAGTGTTTAATAAAATCTTTAAGTGTTATAGATTGTGGTAATAGAGGTAGATGGTATTGTTTTAAAAACTTGTTATAACAAGTATTTGTCTCTAAAGGAGTTGAAGTATTGATATTAGAGACATTATATATAGTGTCTTCTATAGATTCGCTCACACTAGGTTTTACTGCCTGTCTATTGTCATCATTTTTCTCTAAAGATGGCCCAAATATGGAGAACATCATAGTTTTAGAGGTGGCAGCTGCATCAATATGTTCTGTAGAAGACATTATTGAAAAGGAGGATTTACACTTTCCTCTTGTGAGGTAAGAGTAGTGTTTTCTGTTGCTTTTATTGTTTTCTTTGGAGGTATAGGTGTATCCTTATCTACTTCTTAAGATGTAGATGGCTTAGAGTTTTGTATGAAGAGAGAGTCTTCATATTGTTCTGAAATTAAAATTTTAAGGTGTTTTATTAAGAAATTTTCAGCTGCAGGGTAGTAGAATTGGTTGTAATTTATATGTAATGTTTAAGTAATATTTTAAATTCTATTTCTAATTTGAAGTATGTAATGACTTTTGTGAAGATATGGATGTCATTAGTTGTTTTAATCATTTTTCCTAGGGCTTCTTTCTGGGATAGACCTGTAAGTCTATCATTATCTCTTGCTGCTAGCATAAAAGCTCTTAAGTATCAGTAGAAGTAATATGAAGATCAGGCTATATTGCTTTCCACTTTGTTGAGCTTTGTGAAAGTTTTTTTGATAGATATTGCTAGGCCTCTGAGTTCTTCTGTGGGTGTTGAAATAGAGAAGCTTGCTGTAAGTTTTTGTTTAAAATGAAAGATGTCAGTTTTTAGAGTTGGGTATACCTATTCTTTTTGTTCTGATTCTGGTACTAGATGTGTTTTAAAGAAGTTAGTGAAATAAAATTTAGATATATTTTCTAGATTATGTTCAGTTGATTTGGATAGTAGATCACAATCTTTGTTAGTGCAAAAGTGAATGTGGTGAAGTGCTACTTTAAAGGTTGTTTCAGAGTGCTCTTTAAGGGTATGTAGTAAGGTTGGTAGAGAGTATAATATTGGCAGTAGTTTTTTGTATTCTTCTGTTAATTTTTGTGATATTAACATTTTAATATAATTGCTTGTTTTCTGTTAATCAATTTTTCTGAATTGGATGCTATATTTTTCAAAGAAAGGTTTAAATCAGGTTTTATAAGTTGTAAGATGGGGTTTAAGTAATAGGATTCTAAAGTCTTTTAGGAATTTTTTAGAAGGAATGTTAAGAGTTGTGCTAATATTAAATCAGTTGTCATTTTGGATTGTGAATTTAAGTTGTTTGGAGCTGTGTTTAATGTCAAAATAGAGTGTAAATCATAATGGTTTAATGTCAAGTTTTTTCATAAATTCTTCAAAATTAATGGTTCTATATTTATAGTTTAGATAAAGATGTAAGTGGGCTAGATTTATGGTAACTTTATATCTGTTAGTATGTAAGTAGCATGTAATAAAATAGTGTGATCAGAGGATATGTAGATAGTCTAGTTGTGTAAAGAAAACTTCTATAAACTTGGAAAGTAAACCTTTAAAAGTATCATAAAAAGCTTTAAAGGAAATTGGTTTTGATTTATTAAAGTTAGGGCTTTAGTTGATAATAAACACTGATAGGAACTTAGGTTTTTCGCTTGTTATTTTGTTAAGAATATAGCTGAAAGAGAATTTGGCAGATGGTCTGTTGTTATTTTTGTTATTTTTAGATTTATTGGGGATAACTTATCCAGGTATGAAGTCTTTAAGGTTGGATTTCAAAAGGTTGAATAGTTGTAGAGCCAGTGGGGTATTAAGTTTATTATGTTGTTGCATAGTTGGGGTAATAGGATAGTTTTTAAACCAGTTGAAGTCTTTAAAAGTGTCATGTTTCTGAGTATTTGCTTTTTGTTTAGGTTGTTTATCATTATTTACATTCTGTTTGCTATTATTTGAGGTTTCTTTTGAATTGAAGTTGTTGTCTGATTGATTGTTAGTATTTTTAGTCTTTTTAGAGAGCTTATCCAAATTTTTTTAAAGAAAATGCATTTGTCTTCTGCAGATAGTTAAAAACATTTGATTTTGCAGTAAAGGCCATGTTGTTCCCAGTTCATAGGACTTGTAAATTTGGCTAGCTTTAGTTTAAGTCTGTGAATACATTGAGAATAGGCAGAAAAGACACCAACTTTAGTTTTAAAAACAAGAGCTTCTGGATTTAATGAATGTTTGTTGTTAGTTAACATGATGCAGAATACATCTTTGGTTTTGCAAATAATACATGTGTATGCATGATGAGAGTAGGCTGTGAATGAGATTTGATTATTAGTATCTTGTCTACTATTGCTGTAGCAGTTAGAAAATGGTTTAGCAATATTCTGTTTAGGTTAAAAGAATAACTTTGGTACATTATAAAAAGATTTTTAGAGTTTAGTATCTAGATCAATTTTCATTGAATTAGATAGCTCAGTTGCTGTTATAGAAGTAGTATCAGAGATAGATAGTAGCCATAAATGCTGTGAAGTAAAGTATGTATGATATTTTCCACAAAGACATCTTAAGATGATAGGTTGAGTAGGGCTAAAAAAGAAGTGGTAGCCATTGTTAATATCACATTGTGTAAGGTTAAAGTTAGTTGGAAAGACTTTAAAGCTTTTACAGTTTTTGTCTAAAGTAACTAAGGTTCAGCTACTATATTTGTTTTAGAGAATATCTAGGTTGAAGGAGTCTGGTTCAATGGTAGTAATGCTAGGCATATTATGTAACTATCCTAGTAATGTTTGTATTAGTGAAAAACAATTTTCAAATCGAATTAAAGAATCTGATTTTCAGGTAAAATTTTCTAATTTGGGGCTTTGCAAATATGTTAGAAAGGATCTGAGAAATGTGGTGCTAATAAAAAAGCTAATTGGATGTTTAGAAAATTTTAATGGGTACTAGAAAAGTGAATTTTCCAGGGCAACACAATGAATTTTACTAAATTAACCAGTAAAATAACTTGCAAAAACAGATTTTGTTTTGTCTTTTTTCCTAATATCTTAGTGAGTTTTGGTTTGTTTGCTATAAAATATATATCAAAATAACCAAAATAAAGTGCTTGTTATTTTTCTAATAGGTAACAACATATAATTAATTAGTAAAATATTAAAAAATAAGCAAAAACCAAAATGTTGGTTTTTGCAACTTTTCTTAGTAGCCAAGTGTTGCAGGAGCTTAAAACTTGGCCAACTAGAAGGAGAAAAATGAGCTAAGCAACTTTATATATATTGTAGGTGGATTCTGAATTAACTTAAGTGGATTTTAAATCTGGAAACAACTTAAGTAGAAATAGAATTTTAAAAATTGTAAACAATATGCATTTCGATATAAAAAATATAATTTATAGTTAAAAACATTGCATAATCATCATATTATTTATTTCCTATAACATTAAAAAATATGCTCTCTATTTTTGCATTTATTACTATGTAGATGACATCCGCTTCCAAACACCAAATTAGAACTCCTACAACTACAAGAATTATTTTTGCATTCACTCTTGCAATTATATTTGGTGCCAGTTACAGTAGAAACAGACTGCATTCCTGCAGCTTCTCATACACTAATAATTTTGTCTTGACAAACTTTAAACTCTTCATATTCTGTCAGCCCTAGTGACATAATTTTATTTACATTAAAGGTGGTATCAAGTATTCTATTTTTACATTGTAAGTAATATGTTTTATTTGGCAATTCCTCAATTACCTTACAAGGTAAAGTAGACTGATCAATGGCATTACAATCTATTTTTGGAATTGCAATACATACGTAGTCATTAATAGAATATTTAAGTGGGTGCTTATTATTTTTTCTTAACATTTGGTCTTTTATTCAGTTTCGATATTCAATAAGTGATTTATTTGCATATTTGCGAGATAGTTGATGTGATTGAATATTTTGAATTTCTCGCAAGTGTGAATTTTGTTCATTAACCCATTGAATAAAAAAATAAAATAAATAAAATAAAAAATAAAAAATAAATAATTTTACAATAAAAATTTACATTATCTTCTTGATTTATAATCAATGATCTATATTGATTTAGTATCAATGGTTCAGGTTGGTGTAATGTCGATGATTCAGGTTGAAGTAAAGTTGTTGATTCTTGATTTAATATTAGACAAATTTCCTGATTTGGTGTTGGAGATCTGGATTGACTTAAAATTGAAAATTCCAGGAATTCTTGATTTAAGGCTAATAATTTGGATTGATCAGATGTTGAATAATAAGACTAGTGTCACGGTATAACACAACACACAACGTTCTTGCCCAGAATACAAGCAAGGTGCAACAAACAAACAATATATATGTATCGCATAGTAAGGAAGGCTTCAGTTCGAACGGGGAATCGCGTGTACACATGATAACTGGTAGGAGTCGGATCATAAGATTGGGGCATAAGGGAATAAAATAAGTGACGCATAAATTAAATAAATCAGTAGTACATAAATTAGGAAGCGATGCATTAATAATGTTGTAATAGGGTTTATAATAATGGCGTGATTAGTAATAAGTTAATTGAAAAGTCAAATGTGTAGTCAAAATATGATGTAATCAGCATAGTTAAAATAAGTATAAGTAAAGCATGAAATAAAGAAATAATTAGGAGGTCTTTCTTGAGAAAAATAATAAGATACTTGAACGTCGTGTACTAATACTTACCCGATACGGTTCCAGTGGTCATTGACTTGTGCGTTGCTCCACCTTTGAGGTAGACGTTGGTAGCCGTGTCTACCATTAACCCCGTTACACTAGTCTAATAAATAATTATTTTCTGATTTTTCAAAAAAATTGTCAGGCAACTCTTTCTCATTTATAACATTTCATTGATATAAATCTTCAAGTATAGAAAAATTCTTGACAGGATCCTGTCCGAATACAAGTGTGTACAGTTATTTTTCAGTTGCACAAGATGTTTGTATGTTCATCGCATCTAAATATGTAACAGTAATACATAATAATTAATTGTTTATAATATATATATTATATGCATATACATAACATATGTATAACTAATGGTAATCCTTCTGTCCAATTATCAGTTTTATTATCTTCCATCCATTTTCCAAGCTTGGTTTGCAAAATTCCATTACCTCTTTCAACCATGCCCTGAGACTGTGAGTGTCTCAGGCAACCATTAATGATACGTACACCAGGCCAAAGTGTCAGCAATTCTGCAATCAGATTAGTGGTAAACTCTTTACTGTTGTCTGATTGCAGAATTGTTGGAGCTTCAAATACTACAAAAATATTATAAAGAAACACAGCTACTTCAGAGGCAGACTTGCTTGTGAGACATTGGGCCTATAAAAATCTGGTGAAGTGGTTACGAAGGTGACAGATATATTTATACACTCCTACAGGTTGAAAGGTTAATCCAATTAAATCCACTTGCACACATGACAAAAAATCTGATGCTACAATTGGCTTTGCAGAAAAAGAATTAGAAAATAATCGATATGTAGCACATGTCTTGCAAGCGCTGCAGAACTCCTTTATAAATAATTAAGAAATATAATCATATTGTTTTCCAATCTAAAAAGCATTGTCATCATTATTTGTTATTGTAATTTTACAATTAAAAGAATTATATGATTTTACTTACGACATCCTACATTTTGGATGATCCAACATGTTTTAAAATGCCCGTATGAACCTTATATAAACATTATAAAGACAATTAAAAGGGCATATAGTATGTATTGTTTCTGACCTATTTTCATTTTTAACAACAGTGATAATTTGAGTATTTAGATTTATTTCAGTTTCTAACTCCCATAGCAGAAAGGAATTTTTAATTTAATATCGATCTTTTGGAGTTCCCAAATTTATATTAGTAGGATCATGTAGTACTGCAATAATAAGATCATAATTGGATTATGAAATAAAGGTTTTGCGATGTCTAACAAGTAACTTTTTTTCAAGAAATTTATTGACTAATTCGTTAAAAACTTGTCTCGAAATAAACGAATATTCTTGGATTAATATTTTAATTGTAAACTTTTATGAAATACAGTACAATTTTGTTTTAAATACATTGATTTATAATTACTAATATTCGATTACTTAATTGATCTTTTTTATAATCTGAAATCAACTTATGTTGTTTCTGGATTCAAAATCCACTTAAGTGGATTCTGAATTTACAGAATTCCAAATCCACCTACAACATATACAAGTACAAGTAAGATTTATTTAGTAAAATATTGAGAAATGATTAAATGTTTTTAGCAAAAATTTGTTGCAAGTAATCTACAAAGAGAGTTACAAAATTGGTCATGAGTCTTAATATTATTTTATAGCATATTACTAATACTTTAATATTTTTTGCTTTGGTCTTCAGACACTTAATTAAAATAACTTATTATAACTATGTTCTATTTTTTGGTATATTAAGTCAGTCTAATATCTTTTTTTTTGGTTCAATTTTAGTAATCTGGTTGAAAATACCTTTTAACTAAGGTTTTTATCTATTTAACTTCTTTATATTAGTATTTTTTGTTTATACTTAGTTTTTTATAATAGTATTATAAATATCTGTTATCTTCTTACTTAGGTTTTTTTATATGAGCTTTTTGTATTATAAATTTTACAAATTTATATAGCTAAAAAGACATACTTTGTGTTAAACTGCCTAATATCAGTTTGCATTTCTATATATAATTAGTGATACAAATGTTTTATAATCTGCTAGTCATAATAATATGATCATAATTATAGATTTATAATTTAATTGTTAAAAACAGTTACTATAATACAAATAAAAATCTAAATTTTACTATCAGTAGGTTTTAAACTTAAAATTTATTACTTGGAGATTAATAACTTATTTATTTTACTAAATTATTATATTATCTAATAAGACTATTTTATTTAATTTTAAATTTATAAAAATTTAATAATTTTTTTATTGCCAACTAATCTTAAAAACCAAACATTCAACAAACTTGAATCTCACTGCTCTGTTCTTGCCTATATGGATGACACTT